TTCGGTGTCCCTGTCGAATCGTGGTTTCGATGGCCAACTCACGCTTGCAGTTCCAAGGGGCAGTGTAATGTATTCAACATGAGGTAGTTTGGTGTGCGCTGGGGGCGAGTCAGGACGAGTAGGCGGATGACAGCGCACATTCCATGTCGACACTCTAAGTCTAAACGGGCCCACGTTGTCGGCGGCGTACACTTTGGCATGCATGACGGCCGAAAAAGGCTATGTGGTCGAAGTGGACCGCTCCGGCTGCATTGCTGCAGCTGGCGCTGGCAAGGGTGCCTCTCTAGGGTCTGCAGAGAGGCGTCTCTATACCTTTGGCAGTACATATGGGGGAACGGCGTCTGGGCGCACTCAAGAGCAAGACTACTATTACCTGCTTCTCCTTCCTGCTTCTCCTGTCCTCCGTCATATTCAACACTTCGTACCCCCCCTCAATCAACCAAGTTCGCACATCAATCTCACACGCACACGCATTCGACATGGCGAACAACTCAGGATACTACTACTCTCTTCCCACCGAGGCGCCAGCACGATCAAGATCAGGCAGCCGACGTCCACCTCTTACACCATCCACTGTCTCTTCGCCATGCCTAACAACACTGGTACCCGTCGCTTCGCGAAGGGATTCTGGAACATCTGGAAGCCCGACTAAAGCTTCAACCTTGCTCGCCAAAGTCGTCTCGGCACCCCCCACCCCCCGGGAAACACCAGCTGGTAGCCCGTTACCGTCACCAGAATTGAGAATGCACTCGACTCCAGCGTACTCGTACGAAAGGCCTACGGTGTCGAGGACTGAGAGTGAGCGTTACGTGAGGCAGTACAGAAAACAAGGTAAGCATCGTCGTTGACATCATGCTTGGCGACTGAAGGCTAACCGGTCCAAGATGGATACATTAGCTTCCCAGATTTTGAGAAGTTCTGTCAGACAGAGAACCCATACGATCAGCACAACCAAAACAATGCTGTCAAGACTTGATGATATCGCTGTATCGGGTCTCTTGCCTTCATTGGTGCGGACCTCTTGCTCACGTGATCGCCGACCCAGCTCTACAGTGGACGGTCACGTTATCAAAGTTTATTACAACGCCTATCGACCGAACTCTCCTACATTCTTTAGGAACACCTTCCAGTCGTTAGTGCTTAATTTTCGACCTGCTTCGGGCCGTTGCCCACGAGAACGCTCGAAAAACCCAACTTGTTGAGTCCTTACGAGCCAATTTCGTCAAACGAAAAATGAGGCAGCAACATAGTCAAGGATGGCGAAAGTTTAATCGCCCCATGCAATGCTGCGCAATGTAGCATATGTGAAGCAAAAACTAGCTCTGGGGACTTGGAGAGGCGTGAATGGTCTCGTGATATGAACACAGCCATGGGACTGCAGTTAGGCGTCGGTTGGGTTGAGCGACGCCGAGTAGCAACCGAAGTGTAGTGAGAAAGTTAGGAAGCGTGTGAACAGAAGAATCTGTTATTACAGCTTTCGGTGGTATTAATTGTCGCACATGTACATGATATCGTTGGCTAAGGCAAACACTCTTGGAGTAATGTAGCTGGTCTAGATTACAGCACCTTGGATATAGTTATGTAATAGGGAAAATCCTTAATATGAATAGCGTGGTCTGATTCACGACTGTGACGTAAATCGTGACTTACAGTCATCATGTTGTCGATGGTGTGTTCTACCCATCTACTGCACAAGGAGTGGAAGGACCAGGTTCAAGTTTTGGCCGGTGACTTGGAAGACCGTCACGTGCACACACAGCCCTTAACAGGACATCGCGAGCTGATAGAGTTAACTATATTCCCATTCTAGCTAGTGACGAGACTGATGAGAGCAGTATAGGTGGTGGCCTGTGGATGACGTCGGCCGCTGATTCCTTCGCGATGTGGCATGGGGCGAATGTAAGCAGTACATTACCTGTGTACATTCAATTCATGTTTGATCAAGTAATAAGTCGATACTTTCGATGCTCATGGAATGCTAATGTTCTCTCTCTTGTGTCGAGAGTGAAGGGTGAGAAGCTTGGCGTTTTCACAGGCGCACGGTCCCCCACACTAACCCAAAATCTAAGCGAAAGTCATCGCACCTTCAGCGCCAGAATTCGGTTTTCAACGACACGACAACACCACAAGCCTCGACGTCCCACATCAAGAGTCGCAATCATGGCTGTCGGCAAGAACAAGCGTCTTTCAAAGGGCAAGAAGGGTCTTAAGAAGAAGACGGACACCTTCGCGAAGAAGGACTGGTACAATGTCAAGGCACCCGGCACTTTCGCGATCAGAGAGTAAGAAGCCCTCCCACAATCCCCCCTCCTCTGCCATGGCGGCGGTGACGACGACGGCGACGGCGGGCGTCTTTCAATTGGGGGAATCTTCACTTACACGTACCTCCTGCAGTGTCGGCAAGACCCTCGTCAACCGCACCACCGGTCTCAAGAACGCCAACGATGCGCTGAAGGGCAGGATATTCGAGGTCTCGCTCGCTGATCTCCAGAAGGACGAGGACCACGCCTTCCGCAAGGTCAAGCTCCGCGTCGACGAGGTCCAGGGCAAGAACTGCCTGACCAACTTCCACGGCCTCGACTTCACCTCTGACAAGCTCCGCTCGCTCGTCCGCAAGTGGCAAACCCTCATTGAGGCCAACGTTGTCGTCAAGACCACCGACGACTACCTCCTACGTCTCTTCGCCATTGCCTTCACCAAGCGCCGACCAAACCAGATCAAGAAGACCACATATGCCGCCTCGTCCCAGATCAGGGCGATCCGCAAGAAGATGGTTGAGATCATGACCCGTGACGCCAGCTCGTGCACCCTCGCCCAGCTCACCCAGAAGCTCATCCCCGAGGTCATTGGCCGCGAGATTGAGAAGTCCACCCAGGGCATCTACCCTCTCCAGAACGTATGTGTAGTCAATTTGGTAGAGAAGCAGAATTACTACTAACGCCGTATAGGTCCATGTACGAAAGGTCAAGCTCCTCAAGGCACCCAAGTTCGACCTTGGTGCCCTTCTCGGTCTCCACGGCGAGTCAAGCGCCGATGACTCTGGTCAGAAGGTACAGAATCCAGACACACCCGCATTGTTTAATACATGACTAACAGCAAATCTCAGGTCGAGCGTGAGTTCAAGGAGACCGTCCTTGCGGAAGTATAAATCTTGGTTGATGAGGCATGGGGTTTCTGGGTCTTTTCAACTTTCTGCGGCATGATATCGGCATTCCAAAAGGTGTTTGTGTTTACAAATGAAAGATAAACATGACCCTTAATGCGATCCCGCGGCAGTGATATGGCGTGCTGGGTATGATCCGCATCTGGTATTCATCAGATGGTGCGGAAAAAGCATCATGAAATGACAACGACAAGTTATACAAAGGCCTCTCCAAGTGAGATGACGATTCATTGTTGGATAGTGTATGGTTGCTTATGTCGCTGATGAACATCTCTGGCAGCAACAGCACACGTGATCGTACTCTTATTCGAACGTCGGCCATATCATCACCCAGTTCCGCCGTTATGCTGCCTATCAACCAGACCGCTTTTCAGTGTTGGCCAGACGACCCCAATTGCACTAACCAAGTACAATGTTTCCCCCAGTCTACAAGCGCTCATCGCCGGTCATCACAACGCGCCTACGTACTGTCGCGCATCTCCGTCCCAGTGCTCGTGGTGGTTCACTCATATCTTACTCTTGACTCAAGGCTCGCAGATCTGCTGCAATATAACGCACTACTAGATACAATAAACACGAACGACAGGAGATTCTTCCCCGCCAATACAACTCCCCAGCATGCATACTGCCTGAGCCCACCCATCATAAGCCCATGATACACCAGCCCATACATTTCAAGCATCCAGATCCTCCATACGCACTCACTCACCCAACCTCATGCACATTGAATGTATAAATCTCTTTCATGCACCACATCACAACCCACCACCTCATTCCACTCCACCAGACAACATCACCATGCCCACGCTTCGACTTTCGATGTCCCCCCAAATATCACGGTTATATCAGCGGTGAACATACGTGCGTGCGTGACTCGCTATCTTCGTCTCCGCTCGTGATTCCCCCCGCGCACAAACCCTCGCGATGATCATTCACAGCCAGCGTACAGTTACTGATACAGTATGCAGTTCCCTCTACAACAAGACCAAACTAAGCACACCGCACTACTTTCCGGGGTTGCAGTGGGGAAAATGGACGAGATCAGCAAAACTACCGTTTAATTGCCCATCTAGCCAGCCTATTGATTAGATTCGGAACATTGAAAAAAACGTAATTCCACGTCTGTGCTCATGGTATACTATAGTACATGCACACTTTGTGCATCTTTTGGCGTTCTTGCCTCCCTCCCTCCCTTCCCTATTGTTCTTTAATTTCCCTCACGTGCGAGCGGGGATGCGGTGCTGAGCCAGCACAGTGTACATGGAGAAGGTGGCGCGCGGCCCGTGACGCTCACCGCTACTTTGGAGATGGGGCCGGGGGAGGCGGAGGAGTACGTCCTTGCTTGTTTTGTGGTTGTGGCTGTGATGGAAGGGTTGGTGGGGATCGATCGATGGGGTTTGCTGATAGGGGGTGGGGGGTTGGGTACGTGGATACAGTGTGTTGTTCATGGTGGATAGATGTGTGTTGCATGTACTGGTTGTGTAAGGGGGGTTTGTGGAGGGATACCTCGTGCGCGGTCATATGTGAATCTGGGGTTTATGTTTGTGGTTCGTGTGTTAGGGGTGGTGTGGTGGCATAGATGGTTGTTTGTTACTATGTGTGCATGTATGCATGGACATGGCTGGGAATGACGAGATCACTGATGCAACAGGTGACGGGATATACTGTACGTACAGTTGGTTTTTACATACATATACGGGAATAGGTGTCATCTGGCAGTGTATCCAGGAAGCTCTTGATCAAGGTATACGCCTGCACCAGCGGACCATACTCCCGGTGCCGCTGCATCGTTTTCAACGGCCCGAGTCTCCCAACTCCCCAGATCCCTCCCAAACATCTACCAACACGCCAACCGCGTCAAGCTCAAACCGAGACATCGCGTGTGCTTGTCTCATAGGCCCTTCTTCATGCATCGATTGCATTCTAGACCTTTTTCTGAGATCTCGATCTGACTCTTCTTCTTCCCCGTATCGACAGGATCCGTACACCTTACTGACTGCATCCGACATATCCTCTTGTGATCCACTCCTCAACCGATCCGCCCTACAATCTTGGAAGCAGGGAGACCTTCTCTTCTCCTGATCCTTACTCTGATATCAGCTTTTGGAACCTTGATGCTAGCACCATCTACAGGCTTCGGTGTGGCCCACGCCCCCGGCTTCTCCTCTGCCTTAGTCTCAATGGCACGTTGTTCGCCTGCAAGTGCAGCGGCGCCCATTGATGCTTCCGCGCCCGCTTCTTGCATCTGATCGAAGAATGATTTCTTGGGTGCTGGTGCGATTTCCCAGAGTTGGGTTATGCCTGCTACGAGGGAGACTGTCAGAGCGGTTTTATAGGGTGCTGCAGTGTCGTTGGTGGGGAGAACGGCAGCTGGAACTTTCGTATGGATAAATCGATCGGGTTTAAATGTGGTTGGCGACAGATGGTGTGACGGGGAGGAATTGATGAGGACTCCGGAAACACCGATGTCGATGTATGATCCTACGTCCAACTCCCATACTGCTTGCTCATCCCGTGCAACAACGTGAGTATCTTGTAGCGTGATTGGCTTGGAGATTTCGTATACACTTGCTGAGCAGCCGTAGAGTCGTCGAGCTTCGTTGATGCAAGAATGCAGATACGGAAAAAAAATCTCGGTAATTGCCTCACCCCCAGCAGTGTAGCGTATCTCAGGTGGTGCGGGGAACGATGGGTGTATTGAGGGCGGTTGGATCGCTTGTGCCCATGCCTTTGTCTCTTCCCTTATCTTTCCCAAAGGCGTGTCTGTCGTGTCTTGTGCACTTGATGCTGAGTAAATGTGCAGTATCGTCCAGAATACCAAGGGAGCAACTTCTGCGACGATGGCATGTACAAGCTGGAGGCCAAGGGAGGCTCGAACTTCATAAGGTAGGTCATGCTTTGTGAACAAATCATTCAGTCTGATCAACGGCGTTGAGACATCAGCATCTGTCTCTTCTTCACCGCTGACACTTTCGTCATCAGCCGGTACTCGCCGTACCGGAGGGTTTGTCAAATCATCAAATAGCTTTGTGAACTTATTTGAAAGTCGTCTTTGTGCCAATGCCGCTCCAGGTAAACCTTTGATAGGTGAAAGCCGTGGCAATCCAAGTGCAAGTGCCCAATAATTCTGATTGAACGTGGCCAGGTCCATGGCCAGCAGTTGATATGATTCGGTAAATTGCGCACCCATAACCGGGGGCAACATAGCATTGCAGCAGAACTCATTGACTAGCATGAATAGGTCGCACTCGGCTTCCGAAGTACCGTCAGTGAGCTCGAGGTTCGCAACACGCTCCCATTGCATCTGATCCACAATAGAGGAGTTGAAAGTGATGAAATCTGGGAGCGAGTCGGACAGTATCCGCAATGATGACTTGACCAAGTCTTCCATATTTTTGCCGCTCGTCAAATCCTTCTCGAAGACTCCAGAAATAGCCGGGGTAAGATTCGAGATATGGTCTGCAGCGCCACTAGGCATATTGAAGGCGTTTTGGCATATTGCGGTCTTGTAGCCTCTTGGCTCCTCTAACTTATCTGAGTGTTTGTAAACTTGTTGCAGAACTTCATCCGAAAGAATAAGATTGTGCTTAGCTCCAGCAGCTTTGTATGCAACGATGCTGGAGATGGACGACTCTCTACAACCCTGTCAGCATCATATCCAATTTAACATGCTTTCGAAGAACTGACCCTATACTCTTTAACCATTGCTCACCTCCAAAGACGAGACTCCCAAGGTTCCGAAATCCCGGAATCCAGTATGGCACTGATTGTACCCTCCTCTTCCCATCTTTACTCTTCGCCGTAGCTCCTGATGCAGAGAATAATCTCGTTGGTAGCAGGAAGAAGACAGACAGAAGCGCAAGTTGGGGCAGAACTTCGAACCACGAGAATTCTTCGGGCAAATAACTCTGGACTGCTCTGTCTAGACCAAAATACCAGGCGATTGCCAGAGTGAATGGACTCAGGAGCACCGTGTACCATGCTGGCAGGAAAAGTGCTCTTATCAGGCCATTGGAGCCATGTACGCCGAGGAATAATATCCTCAGGGAAACCATGGTTGCAGATTGCAACGTCCCTTTGTGCTTATCCAAAGACTAGGCTCCTGGAGGACCAAACTCTACATGCGTTGCGCGCCGATTGTAGCTGAGGTTGACGCGTATGCAACGTGACCGTAAAAACTGGATGTCGTGAACCAGCCACGACAATGCAAGACGTTGAAGTTTGCAGATGGTGTGTTAAACTGCTGGAGTTCTCGTACGAATATAAGCAAGAAGAGATACGATTATCGATAATCGAAGGATGATGCGGCTGAGGAGGACAAGGTGACATTGGGAGGAAAGTCGCTAGCGTCTCGCTTAGCTTGATACCGGTATGCGACGATGTCCTCCAGGTCAGCCATATCCATACACTTGCTAACGATCCTTTTCAATTTCACTGTCGCCTTCAATTGCCCAGTCTTTAACGTGGTAGCTTGGGTCGTCTTGTCTCTGCTTACTGTAAATGCCTTCCTTTCTTTGTTATCATTTCCAGTTTGCAGCACGTTCAGGTCCGCTGTCACAGTCATACCATTTCTGCTTCTCAAAGCACACACATATAAAAGGGCTGAAGGGCTGCGTCTAATCCAAGTCCCCCCCCCCCAAGAAATGACATCTTCTATTAAGCTCTAAAGCCCTAACCAAATTGCAGGCTTCATTCCGACTGCAAAAAATTCTCATTACTTCTAGCCCTTCCAAATCCACGAATTCCAGCAAACTTGACCTGAAAAGTTTCAAGATGCCAGCCCCCCAACATCTAAACTTCATCACGGGCAACAAGAACAAGCTCGCCGAAGTCCAAGCCATACTCGACGGTGTAATTGAGCTGCGCAGCGAGAATGTCGACCTTGTTGAGATCCAAGGCACAGTCGAGGAAGTCACGTTCGACAAGGCGCGACGAGCTGCCGAAGCCGTACGTATATTAGTGGTTGAACTGTAATCATGTGCTCCTGGTCTTGCTAACCAGGTGATATACTAGATCAACGGCCCTGTTCTGGTGGAAGACACATGCCTCTGCTTCAAAGCTATGAATGACCTACCAGGCCCTTATATGTACACTCTTCCCTCTCTTTCTCTCAGACTCCATGCTTCCAACGAACAACTTACTAACCCCTCCCCCACCTCAAACAGCAAATGGTTCCACCTCGCCCTCGGCCCCCAAAACCTACACAAACTACTCTCCGGCTTTGACGACAAATCCGCTCAAGCCGTGTGCACATTTGGCTACTGCGCAGGCTCCGGCCAGGAACCAATTCTGTTCCAGGGTCGCACAGATGGCAAGTTGGTTGAGAGTCGGGGTCCTACTAATTTTGGTACGTGGAGTTTTTCTTTCTTGAATTGATGTTGCAGATGGGAAGGAAGGAAGGAAGGGAAATATAAGCGGCTAGAGAGGATCTTGTTGTTGTCTTCGGCCGGGAGCTGACGGGGTGTTTAAGGTTGGGATTCGTGTTTTGAGTATGAGGGTAAGACGTATGCGGAGATGGAGAAGAGGGAGAAGAATGAGGTGTCTCATCGGGGCAAGGCGTTGGAGAAGTTGAAGGCGTGGTTGGCGGCGAATAAGGCATAGGAGGAAGATGAGAATATCTGGGATGATCTTTGCAAGTGATGGATTTCTTTTCCTCTACCTGTCTGGGTATCTCCACTAGTGGCATGTGCAATACAACGGCAAGAGAGGGAAAAAACTCAACCACTCTCCCGTCATACAAACACAAGCCATGCCCAACATCATACTCATACATGTTCCCAATCCCTCCCTCCCCACCCCATCCATCACTCCCCCCCACCCGCACCCCCATTATCCCTCCTCCACCCCTCCACCCACCGCTCCACCCTCTCCAAATTCCCCTCGACATCCTCGGCACTATCACTCCGCAACTCGACCACAATCTCCTCCCTGTAGGCCTCGCGCGCCTCATCCAGCAAGACCTGCATAATCTCGCTGTCCATGTTCTCCTCGAGCTTCTTTCCCTTGTAGCCCCGGGCCGTGAGCCGGTCGTAGAGGACGGTGGAGTCGCAGCGCAGGACGATGACGAGGTCGATCCAGCTCTCGGGGAAGAGGTCGCAGGCGTGCCAGTCGAGTATGTAGCCGCCGGTTGTGTGGAGGGGGAGGGATTCTAGGTGGTCAAGGAGCTGGTGGGGGGGGGGGTTCTTCTCTTTCCTTTCTCTTTTCTTCATTTTGCCGTTTTCTCACAATATCATTATTCATCTTTTTATATTAAATTTTTCTCTT